CCAGTGAGGGTCTGATTCTGATTCAGTCCCCCGAGAGGGAGGTCAGGAGGTGCCCGAGGACCCTGGAGCCCTAGAATTTCAAGGACCAGGAGGGAAGGCCTGGTCCAAGTGGCTGCCTGCTCTCGGCCCAGCTGTAAAGCTGCTCCTTATAGCATCTGCACTGGGAGACATCGGCCTCTACCTTACCCAGGGACAGGGAATTCCCAGTGGGGCCCTTGCTTTTAGGAGGGGGCAGTTTATATTGTGATAAGTCTTCCCTTTGTGCAGCTCCAAGTCTATAGAGTAAAAACAACTCTTGGGAATGGGGGCTTGTCCCCAAGATTCCATTTTGCTAAGCCGGTGAGCAGTCGATGAAACGCAGGACGTGGGAATTGCAGCTGCCTGAAAGGAAGACCGTCCGACTCAGTGGGCTCCTAGGGAGGGGCATGGAGCCCACGCCAGACAGTCAACAGCACCAGAGTCTCAGGAACATCGCAGGAGGCCTCCCCAGGGGAAGCCAGACCAGCTGATGACCCCGGGGTTCAAGCCTCCAGGACTCGCAGTTCAGTGCTCCTTCTCCAGCCCTGCCTCCCCTGCCGCCTACAGCTCAGGGTCCAGCTGCGTCATGCCTGTCCTGAGGAGAATTCAGTCCTCGGTGTCAGGCGACGGGCCCCTCGGGTTCCAGGGGTGGGTATGTCTCCCAAAGGCTGGTCTTGTGTAAACCTGTCTCACGGCTGGGGAGACGGAAGAGGGACCCCACCCTCAGCAGTGGCTGGACTGAGTGTTCCAGGCCTTTCCTGCCTCCGAGGGACACTGCTAAGCTGCCCCTGGTTTGTCCAGAGCATCAAGCAGCTGCACGTCCCTGGCTAGAGCCGCCCTGGACGGGACACTGCTTATCTAGTCTCTTGTTGGGGTTCTCTGAGTCCTGTGACACAAAGATTCAAAGACAGGGCCTCTGTCCACGGGGAAGTCCAAGAGGGAAGACGAGTAGCCATTCTGAAGGAAGGAGGGGGACCAGGCCTTCGGAGAGAGGCCGGGGCTCTGAGGTCACAGAGGGAGCACACCCTCCGCCGAGGCAGCTGGGAGAGAGGATGAGGAGGGGTTCCTGAGGTAGGCCTCGCTGGAGGAGCAGGACGAGGGAGGGCCTTGCAACAGGAATGGTGCCCGCCCGGGCTCGGAGCCCAGAGAGTGGCCGCTGTTCCTATTCCGTTGGCTAGCCGGGTGTCATCTGGATGAAGTGTACCTCGAGCTCAGGGCCCGTGAGAGGAAAAGGGGGAACGTAAGGCAAAAGAAGCTGGGGTGGGCTCACCCATGGAGGGAGGCCTTGAATGGCAGCTGGAGGAGGAGTTTCAACTTTCTGCTGTGGCTGCAGGGCGCCCGGAAGGTTTCTGACAGCAAAGCAGGTGGTGGGTGGCAAGTCCCAGTTCATCAGTACCACATGCCCCACTACCACCCCCCCACCACCCAGGTGTCTTCTGAGCAGAGAGACAACAAGAGCGGTGTTTCCTCTCATCAGACTCCTCAGGCGGCCCATGCCACACTCCAGAGGCCTGTGGGCCACTCACTCCACCTTCCGGCCGGAGCTGCAGAGCTCATTTCAGCGTGGGGCGGGCGGCCCTCCGCGTGGGGCTGTGGGGGGCAGTGGTGTGAGGGGTGCTGGCGAGGTCTGCTCCCATGGACTGAGGTTCAGTTATTCCCTCAGAGAAAACAGCCCGTGCCCGAGTCCCCCACAGAGCCTGCGGAATTTCACTCCGGGCAGAAATAACTCTGAAACGGCAGGGAGGGAGGGAGGGTCGGCCCAGCTGCCCAGGAGGGGAGGAGCAGAGGGGTGATGGCTGCTCGTGTGCGTGGGCTCAGCCCTGACCAGAACACCGTCTGACCCTCATCCCAGCCCAGCCCGGCCAGGCCAGGCCCCCCGCCTTACCCCCTGTCGGAAGCTGCCCCCGCGGCAGCTCCCTTCACATGCGTTATGCAATCAACACTCACGGCCCCCCGAGGCTGGTATTAAATACCCCCGTTTTACAGATGAGGAAATGAGGCTTGGAGGGGGTGTCACCACCTGGGTTCTAGGTCCAGACCCCATCCGTGTGCTCTTCCCGCCCTCCAAGCGGGGTCACAGCAGGCGTGCGGGAGGCTCAGGCGTGTTCACGGCTTCAGCACCACCGCCCAGCAGGGCCAGCAGTGTGCATGGCCCCCGAGATGCCCCAGGCGGGGGTGCTGCTGCTGCCCGCCCCCACGCAGGGGGAAGACGGTGCTCAGCAGCGTTGGGAAGGGATGGCAGGCAGCCAGGTGGGTGAAGGACGTGCAGAAAAAAATGGGTTAAAAAAAGATACATTTGAGTTTTATGCACGTTCCCAGTTTGCAAATTCTGTTCACGTTAGTTATTCTGTTTAGCCTCGTGGTGGCCCTGTGAGGGAGCGAGACAGGGCGGTATTTTATAGACGAGGAAACCAGGCGAGGCCAGGCTTTCTGCACGGTGTGTCTAGGTCTAGCTTTCCCGACCAGCGATTTTTGGCTGGGCTACCTAGAGCCTTTGGGGTCCATGGAACTCCCCAGACGCAGTCTACCTGGATCTGTCTTCCACACTGGTCTTCATGGGAGACCTTGTTTGTGCCTGCTCAGGAAAGATCAGAGAGCCACTGCTGTCCCCACCCTGCTTCCCAGAAGTCCAGCGCGCCTGCTCTGCTGGGGCAGGAGCACACAGCCTCAGCATCGCAGTGCCGTGGGGCGCTCGGCCC